CAGATGACTTTCTCCACTAGGGGGAGTGGCCCGCTAGCAGTTCAGACCCAGAGGAGAGCACTGCTTTTCTTGGTCCAGCTGGATCAGCTTGGGAGCATGAATGACTGGCTCAGAGGAGATTCGAGACAGGGAGGGGAGAAGGGAGGATTAGGATTGGCCAGGCCTGGGTGACAGGGGTAAGCAGAGTGTGGACTGACAGCTCTCCACTACCATGTGAGGTGGGCAAGGACAGCTCCCCACAGGAATGTGAGCCTCTGTGCCTGCGTGTTTTATAGTCCATGTCACTACCAGTGAAACGGTGGGCAGGACACCGGGCTGGTGAAACAACACATCTTCACAACAGGGGCTGTGACCTACTTTCTTTCTCTCCCTGAGAGAGCTGGCCTTCATCTATCTGCTGTGAGAATTCTCAGGGGATGATCCCACTCACCACTCAATTTCTCCATGCCCTTTTTTTGCTGTCCAGCAGAAATAAGAAAAATGTTCACCCAGCGGGATATGTAGATCTGGGTGAAAACGTAGAAACTGGTGCTTTCTGATGGGATGGAAGTTACATTATTTGTGGAGTGACAGTGTCCCAGGCTTCACACTCCTTGGACTTGGTGGCCTTTACCCACCACATGCAGAAATTCCATCCACAGAGTGGGCATTTCACTTGGCTGGCGAAATGCCAAATGTTCAAGGGAGCTGAGAAACTCGCGTCTAAGCAGAATGGCCATGGGACCTACACTCTGGAAAGATTGCAGTTGATGAATGAGTTGGTGCAGGTGTCTGAGCAGGTGCTCACTTCTAAGGTGCAGCATGAAGCACAGCCTCCAATCAGGGCCAACGTCACACTGTCTGGAGCAGCCTATACCAGACACAAGCCCATTGGCAGCCAAAGTAAGCTCACCTGTACTCCTGTGAGCAGCTGGTTCACCTCTGTCTCCTGACTAAAGTGAGGTACTTAAACTCACGGGGCCCAATTTGGTGTCTCCTTCTGCCCATTGGTATTTAGGTCCAGAGACACCTGCCCTTATCTTTGTGGCTATCCTCCTGGGCCTCAAGGTGACACTTGTGATGAGTTTCATATCACCTACATTCACAGGTGGCAGAATCTGCAACAGGAGAGTTGGGGGCAGGCCATAGTCCTTAGGGAGGGAGGTCAGGGACACCGTCATGGGCTGGCAAGAGGAGTCCAGAGCACACCCACAAAGTGATGATCCAGCCTCAAGAAAAGGTAGTGAACACTCTTATTTTCTCCAACTGTCTCTTGGAATTCTCAGAGGTTTCCAACTCTCACGCATTGTGTAGTTCCCTGGAGTTTGAAGGTTTTTAAATGAAGTTCATTGGGACAGTGGAGGTGGGGGTCCAAGTTATGGAGGTGGGATGAAGGTCAAAATTTTGAGACCCAAACTCTGGAGTCCCCCCATAAGATGTTTTCATACGATATATCTTCAGAATTAATAAGGAAAGTATTATTAAAATCAACCACTAAAGCCTATCTGAGGGCGTTGGGGTGCTACTAGTGGCAAAGATGAATGTGGGTGTGGGAGAGAGTTCAGAAGTCAGAAAGAGGTGTTGGGGTGTAATGATAGGGTCTTCATTTCTGATCTGCGCCATGAACGCAGGCCAATCAGAGTGTCTGCAACATAGTAGGTGCTCGATAAATATTTGTGGAATTAATACATGAATGAATGAATGAGTGAATGAATGCCTGTTTCTCCCTACAGCTCCTGCATGCCCTGTGATGCATTGCCTCCTGTCCTCCCCAAGGGGCTCAAGGGGGGAGAAGCTGCCGCAAGGACCTGGAGGTTACCCAAGAGCCCTGCCCTTGACTCTACGATCCCCACCTCCACCATGGACATGCTCCCTCCACACACCCTCCTGATGCTCCTTCTCTGATATTTGCAGCGGAGTCAGGGATGGACTTTGGTCATGGGGGCTCGGGGTGTCTGGCCCCATGCATTGAGCTTCAAGCTGGCCCTGCCTCCACCCAAAGAGAATCAAGCACGTCAAGAGAATACATCTCCATCCTGCCCCTGATCATGAACAACCCTTGATTTTCAGAGCAGTTTGTACTTTTATCCAGAGATTTCGAAGTATGATTTCCTTTTAACACATATGTATCTTGAAATCACTAAGTTGAAGAAGCATTTTTCTATTCTGAAATATATAAAGAATAATATAAAAAATATCCATGGACCTACCATCCTATCTTTGTAAAATATTAACATTTTGCTATTATGTTTTT